TCACTCGCTCAGCAAATATTTAATCACCAAGCCCCGGGCTAAGTTTCGGGCTCCTGGTTTCGGAGACGGTGAGGGAAGTCAGCGACCGGGTCCCTCCCCAGGTAAGTCCTGCCAAGGAAGCACATGGCAGGTCCTTCCCCCAGCCTCCCGTGCTCTCGCTTGGCAGCCTTCTCATGAAAATAAACAGATGCCCCCGGGAGGGAGACTGCCCCAGACAACAGCAGCCCGACGCCTGGCACCCCAGCGCCCACCTCACCCAGAGAGCAAATAGCCGCCACGCTCGCGGCGCCCAAGTGGGCACAAGAGCGGGCAGCAGGGAGCGCGTGCCAGCTAGGGTGCCAGGGAGGTCAGCAGGGAAGGACGCCGCCCGCCGGGCGGGCAGCTGGCCACACCTGCGAGAAACCAAGTGAACAGGCATTCCAAGGAGCCCAAGACTCCAGTGCCCACGGTTCAGAAGTCCTCCCGAGGCTCTGACTGGATTTTCTCGTCTGGCAAACCATTAACTGAATGGAGAAGCCCAGAGTTACCACATGCCCCACAGTGGCGCCCCTGGGCACATACACCCAAGGGAGGTGGGGCTCGCCCACACAGACAGGCCACAGACGCTCAGAGCACTGTTCACAGCAGCCGTGGAAAGCACCCAAATGTCCTCGCCTGGCAGCCCAGGGACAACAGGCGAGGCGCCCAGGGCGGACGCCACCCAGCCCCGCCACCTGGCTCGGCATGGAGACCCTCGCAACAACACTGAGTGAAAGGTGTCACACACACAGACCCTGTCCTCCAGTGCTGTCCCAGGAAAGGGCAGAGTGGGGACATCGGTGCAGTGATCTGAGGCTGCTGAGGACGGAAGGCGATTCCTGGGAGCGGGAAGTTGTGCTTCCTTCTGCCACGGCTCAACACAGCACCGCCTCTGCTCCGCTAAATCCCGAGGGTTCTCTTGTCCATCCAAATAACCGGGAGACCCTCTCTGAAGAACAGTGGTCTTATTTTGGAATAACGGGGTGTTGCAATGGCAGACTGGGGCTCGCTTGAGGAGGCTGAGGGCGGGGGAGTTTTTAAAGGCAAAAGGGAGAAGCTCGGGAGCTGCTTGGATCCAGAGCTCCATGGTCTTGGAGACCCCCCAGGACTCGGCGTCAGGGCTTTGGTGCAGGGGCCTCTGCTGTGCTCCGGCCAGAGCCTCCCGTCTGAGCTGCCCCTGTCCTAGAGAATGCTAAGGTGAACTGTGCAGGGACCTGTGTGCACGTGTGCCAGGCGCACAAAGCCCGGGACGGGTAGGACAGGGAATCTCTTGTGAGGCTCTGGGGCATTCCTCGAGCAGGAACAGGAACGAGTGAGGAGCCCTTCCCAGCGGTTACTTCCTGGCTCTGGTTCTGTCTGGTCTGAGAAGAGGATTTCATCCTGAGATCACCGACTGTCACATGCCCCAACAGCAGGCAAGCAATCTTGAAGCAGGCATGAGCTGGGCTCCTCCTGGCACCATGGGCATGGAGACAACATGAGATGGCATGGGCTGAGGGCTCACTTCCAGAGACTCCCCCTCTTCCCATACGAATCCCCAGGATGTGGCCTGCGCTTCTGCCTGACCAGCCCTCACCCCTCCTGGGGTCTGAGGAGCTATTTCATCATGTTCACCCAAAAAAACTTATCATCAAGGACAGACAAAGGATGCGGATGGACAGGGGAGGAGAGGTGCAGAGGGTGAGGCTGTGGGACAGGCACGGACTCCCAGGCCCTCCCTGGGTGCGCCACCCTCTGGAACCTCTGTGTGTCTGGCTGCCCAGAAGCTCCTCGAACCCTGTCCTTCTGGGGTCTTGGGAGGCCTCAACACGTGGCCACGGTTGGCACCCGACCACTGGTGTCCGACTCGACCTCCAGCCCCTCGGACCTCCCCGGAGGCTGGTGAGGCTGCAGTGTATTTGGGGTGACCAGTCTCACCGTGAAACTATCCAGGGGCACCCAGCTGTCAGTCACCTTTTGAGCTCACAGAAGATACTCTGTTGCTCTGGAGATCTAGGAGATTACACCAAGAAACTGGGTTGGGGACCAAGTGTGTGTTTCCCAGTAGCTGGGGAAGGGAAGGACAGGTGGTGGCTGAAGACGCTGTGCCTTTGAAATCAGAAGTGCTACCCACTGCAAGTGACTAAGACGGTTGGACCACGTGTGAGGTGGTGAGCCGCACATTGTGCGCAGCAGGTTCAAGCCGTCTGTCAAAAACTTGAAAGAAAAAGATGAACAAGGTGCCAAGTTCAGATGGAGAAATGTTCACGGATGACTCCAGTGCGATGACAAGGGACACCACAGCAAAGGCAAGGTGACCAGGAAATGCCCGCCCTGCAGGCCAAGGACTGTGCTCTCCAGGTAGAGCGGGGGCTTGCAGCTCCCCAGGGAGGGGAAGCCCCGCAGGAAATGGGCAGAGGTCCTGCCCAGCCAGGCTGGTGGCTGACCACAGGGACTGACCACAGGGGTAGAGAGGGAAGCTCAGCCACAGCCCCACCACAAGGGGGGGCCAGGAAGGAGGGGCGCTGCCCCAGAGGGCAAGTGGGGTGCTCTCGAGTGCCCCTAAACACTGGCCCCATAGCGTCCCCTAGACACATCTGGGATTTGGGAGCCAAGGAGGGGCCAGATGAAACCGGTTCCCATGGCCAGGGGTGTCTCAAAAGGTCCTGTTCAGCCCATGGGTCCCCTGGTTGGTTACTGGTTGGTCATTTGCCGATTCTGTCTCTGGACTTCCTGAAGCCCGAGCCGAGGCAGAAGATGGGGGCGGGGGGGGCGCTTACACTGTGGACGGCCAGCCCTGGGTGGGCTCTGGTTCCAGCGTGACGCTGCACTACCCCATGAACACTCCCAGGAATCTCAAGGGACTGTGCTGGGGACACAGCCAGAGGGGACAACACCAGCTTCCACGGCACTCGTTCCTCTAGACTCAGGAACAGGGTGAGGCCTCCCACGCACCATCAGAGGTGGCCTTTCCTGGCCGCAGCACCCCACCAGGGCCCAGGCAGTCCTCCCCAGAGCATGGGGCTGCCCCAGGGAGACAGAAGACGGGACAATGGAGGGGCCACAGAAAGGGCAGCAGGGAGAGGCAGAAGGCCTGGGGGCTGGGCCAGGCTCCGGGCAGAGGGCAGGCCTCATGGGTGGAAGGCCCGCAGCACCCCCCACCCCTCCAAGGCCCTCCTTGGCCTCCCTTTCTCAGACCCCGGCAGGGACCCGGGAAAGGCGCCAGGGTCCCAGCACACAGCCCCTCCCCGACCAGGAAGACGGGACCCTGGGCTGGCTGGCTGACCTCCCAGGGTGCTGCAGCCTGAGTGGGGGGAAGGGCAGCATGCAGGGCAAACAGGCGGCCCACCCTGGGGTGCCGTGGCCACTGAGGCCCGGGTGAGGGTTTGTGGACGGGCGGAGGCTGTGCTTCCTCAGGGCGGGACAGCGGGGCCAGTGCTGAGGCGGGCTGCCTCAGGGGCAGTGCCCGAAGGGACGGTCAGGTGGGGATTTTGTTTGTTGCAAGATGAACCAGGGACGAAGAGCTCCTGCTGGGGCAGGAGGGAAGGCCCGGGAGGACCCCGCCGTGGCTGAGTCGCACGCGGGGCGGGTGGGGAGGACTGCGGGTGGCCCAGAGCAGTCCCACAACCACAGGACCTGGGTCTGCCAGCTCCTGGGTGAGCCAGGACTCCCTTCCTCCCCAGTGAAGAGTCCGTCCAGTCCACAGCTTGATTTCCAGAGGGGACCTGAACACAGAGCCCAGGCAAACCCACATGGCAAGAAAGAAGTGAGCCAACAATGGCACTCTTTCAGCGGTGAGTTCTGGGTGACCTGTCCATGGCAGTACACGTGCAGCTAGCTTGCTGGCTGGGAGCTGGGGCTTACACTGTGCTGGAAAGGCCACGTGGCAAGGACCTGAGGGCTGTCTCCACCGACACCCGTCAGAGCCTCCCTGCCAGCTGCACATGAGCTGGGAAGCTGCCCCTGCCCGTTGAGCAGGGTGACTGCAGCCTATGCCAACCTGGACAGTGGCCTGGGAGGTGCCCTGGAGCACAGCAAAACTAGCCCATCTCTGACCCACAGAAACCTGAGACAGTGCATGTAGGTGACCATCGGATGTTGACTTATCACAGACGTTGGTTGACAGTGGACATGGAGTGACATGGGACACTGGGGACCACAGACACTGGATGAACACAGACTTTGGGACATGGTGGCGTGGGACACTGGAGACCATGTACCTCTGTAGCCATTCCACACTGGGCACTGGCTGGGCCACTGAGCTCTTAGCAGACACAGCCAAGGGAACTGACATGGCCTCTCCTCACACTGCACCTTCACCTTGACCTGTAGGGAGAAGTCTGATCAAGGCCTGAAGAGGGTCTGTCCAGTAGAGTCCCAGAATACCCAGAAGTCAGGCTGAGGGGCAGGGGAGGAGCAAATGGGCCACCTTCAATTCCTGGATCAAGGTTCAAGGGCAAGTTCTTGAGGGCCCAGCTCCAGGGGCAGAATCACCCCAGGTGAGCAGCATCTCTGCAGAGGCCCGCCCTATTCACACACTGAGTTCTGACCGTGGACACACGCTGAGCCCTGCCTGACCCTGGACATACACTGAGCCCTGACCCTGCTCACACACTGAGCCCTGACCCAGAGGTTCCGGGAAAAACTGAGGGAAGGGTGTGGCCCTCTTGGAGCACAGGCCCCAAGCAAAGCCAGCCCAGACCCTGGCAGGCCACATTCCTTCCTGCCCCAAGCAGAGAGGTGCAGCCCGTCTCCCAGGAGTCAGGCAGGAACTCTAGGAGGAGCCCAAGCCTGGGGTCTGGGTGGGTGAGTGTAAGGGGAAGGAGGAGCCCCTGCCTGAGGACAGGAAGGAGCCGTGGGAGGCCGCCTGGCAGGGGAGCTGGGTCAGACCTAGGGAGGCGCCTGGGTGTGTGTGGTGGGTGTCTGATCCAGTTAGCTGCGGCCGTGTCCCTCCAGGTTACAGCACGGTGGTGTGGTGACTGACATGCAAAACCAGACAGGCCCAAGCTGCTGCCTGGCTCACCAGGTGACCTTGCCTAAATCAATTAGCTTCTGAGAGCCCAGTTTCCTTATCCAACTAAAATTAATTAGCACTGTGCACCTCCAGAGCTGTCATGAGGAAAAACAGATCCAGCAGCTGCCTCTGACACACACTGGACTCTGGGCTGCCAGGCCCTCTCCCCTCCCGCCATGCACACTCACCCTGCCCAGGGCCCAGGAGGACGAAGGCTCTCCCGCATCAGGGGAAGCCCAGATCCCAGTGGAGCTGACCCAGTAGAAGGCCTAGGACCATAAAAGGACCATCAGAGACCCCCATAGGCAAAATTCCATCCATTGGAGGGGCATCTTCTGCAGTGGGGACCGAGAAGCAAGAATCAGGAAGGGAGTGAGACTCTGACACTCCACCGGCCCCACCCCCACCCCAGTGTGAGTCCTGCCCAGCATGTTGAGACTGTGCCCTGGACCACTAGGGGAGAGACAAGCCAGGCCCCGTGGACCCAGCCATACTCCCCCCACATACTCTGGCAGCTGGGCCTGGAGCAGGGGTGACCAGGACCCCTGGGGATGCAGGTAGGGGTGGAAGCTATTGGTGGCTCTCTCCTGGTCCTGGGGCAGGGAGGGAGCTTCCCTCAACTTCTTTACCAGCAGTCGGGCCAGGGAAGTCCCTCTGAGGGACCAGCAGGGTGGGGCTGGCCCCCAGAGGACACTGGGACTAATGTCCCCAACGTGACCCTGGCCCCTTCCCTACACTCACCCTCCAGCCAGGCCCTTTTCTGTTGACCCAGCAGTTTTCGTTTTTTGTTCCTTAAGCCTCTGAGCAAACTCTGGGCTGGTTGTGGATGGCACTGCAGCCCCACACCCGGTGCCCCAGATGGCCACCTCAAAGGAGCCCAGAGAGGGCAAAGTGGTCCTGGGAAGATTCCCGCCCAGAGTGCTAGAGCAACAGTCTGCCTGGTCGGTGGCAGCAGAGGCAGCGTAGAGGGACGTCCTGGGTGGGAGGGAGGAGGAGGAAGCAGAAAGGTCAGGAATTGGGGAGGGAGGTGGGGCCCCGGTGGAGAAGGGGCAGCGCCCCAGGGTCCACAAAGGAGCAGTGCCCGAGGAATGAGGAAAGGGCGGGGAGGGGTCCTGGAGGGTCGGAAGGGGCGGGAGGAGAACCCTAGGGGGTGGGGTGTCCAGAGCAGCAGGCGGGGAGGGCCGGGGCTGGGGCGGGGTCGTCGCGCCTCCGCCCGCCCAGAAACAAGATCCCGCTAATCCGCTGCGCCGACTGGTCGGACCACCGCGCTGCGTTCGGAGCCCCGCCGGGCAGCGGGGACCAAGCGAGGGATGAGGCTGGCACTTCTGGCGTTGGCTCTGGCCACCTGCGGGGAGCTCGGTGAGGGGCGCGGGGCTGGTGCGGGACAAGTTCTAAGCAGGACTGGTGGGTGGGTCTGTGCTCTGCAGGACGCCCTCACCTGTGGACACTGCGTACTGGTACTGTCCTGTCCGCAGTGAAGGCACCTCAGGACAGAGCCGCTGGGAGGAGGAGGACAGAGGGGAGTGGGAAGCTGTGTCCCACCAGTTCTGTCCAAGATGGGAAGGGAAGCAACCGAGGGCTGGGTGTGTCCCGTGTGGAAGGACTGGTCCCTGGGCCCAAGTTGGACCGAGAAGGCCAGCCTTCCAGGTAGGGCAGAGCCTGGCCAGAGGGGCTTTGTACAGGGGAGGAGAAGGGAGGCCCTGAGGCTGGGGGGAACCTGGGAGTGCCCGTGGGGAAGGAGAGGAGGGAAGGGGACCCAGAGGGGTCCCACAGTGGGGTGATTCCTGGACCTGGGGTCTGAAAGAACAATTGGGACCCACATCCTGGACCTGAGGGGCCCCAACTCAACAGGAAAGGAGTTGGGTGGTGTGGGCTAAGCCAACATGCTCTGCCCATTGTCCAGAGTGAGAAACTGAGGTCAGCCTGAGTACCACAGAGGGGACACAGGGACCTGTGGCCTCCCTGCACACCTGGGCTGGGGCTTGGGCCAGTTGGAGCCAGCCAGGTCCCTGGGCCCCTGGACTTGGACAGGGACACCGTGCAGGGAAGTGCAGTAGCTGGCAAACAGCTTACCCACCCGCACCACCCTTGGGGAGAGGACACTGTCCAGCTAGGACTTGCAGTCTCCTGAGCATAGCCAGTCACCCTGCACTCTGTGGACCTCCTTGCCTGACCCCTAACCCGTGTGCTGCTGAGGAAGTGGAGGGGATCCTTGCCTGTTCTCACCGAAGCCCTTCATCCCTTAGTGCCTCTTGCTGTGGCAGTGTCCAGGGCTTGGTCCCCTGTGCCTCCCAGCTGCTCGGAGTGGCTTTTCCCCACAGGTGGAGCCCACCTCCCCCAGGGCACCCTTGGCCTCTGGAACCCAGGGGTCCAAGTCAGAGCCTGGCCTGACTGTGTCATCTTCCCTAAGCTTTGGCTGGTGGGCAGCTGGCCCCTGGCTAGTGTCACTGTCCTCTGGGGACTGGCTGGGTATGGCATCACCTGTCTGGAGTTTGGGAGGGGCAGAGCCTGCTGACCTGCCCTCTCATCACCTCTCTCCAGCAATGGCCTTAAAATGCTACACCTGTTTCGAACCCACGGGTGTGTCCAGCTGCATCACCATCACCAACTGCGATGCCAACGAAACTATGTGCAAGACCACGCTCTACTCCCGAGAGATTGGTCAGTAGGCATTGGGTGGGGCAGGACTGGGACCCAGGGTCACAGCTGCCTCCAGCCCAGTCTCCCCTGGCCAGCTGGGCCCCCTGTCAGCATGAAGCCACCAGCTATAGGACCACTTGGGCCTTCTCCCTCCTTCCCCTCTTCCTCCTCCTAGTGAGTGAGGCCAGGAACCAACCGCACAACGCCCTGTGTGCCCCTGGCCCCTCACTCAGCAGGGACCACGGGGATGGGGGACTCTGGGGCTGGGGCTGGGAAGCAGTAAAGAACTGACCCTTAGGGCCAATGCCTCCTGTACTCCACAGTGTACCCCTTCCTGGGAGACTCCACAGTGACCAAATCCTGCGCCAGCAGGTGTGAGCCCTCGGATGTCGACGGCATTGGCCAGACCCGGCCAGTGTCCTGCTGCAACACTGAGCTGTGCAACGTGGACGGGGCGCTCTCCCTGGGCAGCCCCCACAGCCTGGCCCTCGCCCTCACGCTCACCCCGCTCCTGGGGCTCCTGCTGTAGAGCCCTGCCCACCCTACTGCCCCACCAGTGCCCGGCCCCACCCTCTGCCTTGAAGAAATACAGCTGCCTCCGGAACCGGGCCTCTGGGTCTCATTGCTGGGCACAGGCCTGCCCTGGGGGCAGGGAGAAGGGTCTCCTGGCGGCATCTGACTTTGTCCCCATCCCTGTCCACGTCTGTTTCTCCTCCTGTCTCTTGTGATGGGTTCAAGGTCCACTCCACAAGCAAGGATAGCCACCAAGTCTGGGACCCCATCCAGATCAGGCAGATCTTTGCCTCTCAGGCCCTTGGGGACCAAGGGGAGCCAGGTCAGGGTGGGCAGGGGTGGAGAAGATCTCCTGGGCCCCGCTCATTCACCCTGGCATCTGCCCGTCCTCCGACTCTGCAGACCCCCACTGGCCCTGCCCATTTCATCTCCCTGCTCCAGGGCCCTGCGTAAGGTGGCCCCCTCAGCCCCTGAGTGGTGTTTCCAGCCACACTGAGATGGGCAGGGCAGGCTGCCCCCTGGCCCTGCCTGAGTCCTCCCTGAGCCATGGCCCCTCTCAAAAGTTTCCTGCCTCTGGCTGGAGGGAGGCTCTGTCCCAAAGGAGGCTCCCATGGCTGGGCACACGAGGACATGCCTGTAGGAGAAGAGGTCCTGTGGGGCTCTGCAGTCCTGGGCCTGGGTGGAACCCACAGCCCAGTGAGTCCCACCACCAGCTCCAAGGCACAGCCCAGCATGGCCACCATCTGTCTGGAAGCTCCTGGGGACAGAACAAGGGCAGCCTCCCAGAATGGGGGTGGCATGGAGATAGAATGTCTAGTGCTGGCCTGGGTGCCCCCATCTGGGGCTGTGACCCTGAGCCCTGACTGTCAAGAGGGAGAGGGGTCCTGTCCACATCACCTGGCTTTTCTCCCATCACACACACACACACACACACACACACCCTGCGCGTACATATGTGCTCCTCAGACTGCAGACCAGGCCCCGTGGTGACCAGAGTTCAGCCTGTGATCAGATCAGGCTCAGTCTGGAGCCAAGGATCAGGACTAAACCGTGACCATGGTCAAGCAAGGCTCAGTGTGTGGTGGGAAGGAGTCTGTTTTGTGGCACATGTGCCCTGGCACAGGTGTGTATGAGGCCTTAGGCCCAAGCCTTGGAGTTGTGCGCCTGACCGCAACCGCACTGGCTGAGAGCCTGACTCGGCAGTGCTGTCGCCTGAGTCCTTCAGCCCCACTGACTCACCGGTAGGGAAGGACGGCCAGAAAGCGAGTGCTAGGGCAAGGACTCCACCTGAGCCAGGCCTTACCACTATGGTGGCCTGGAAGTCCCACAGCCAGTAGGAACTGGACAGCAATGAGGGTAGGAGAGAAGGGAGGAGTTGGTGGCTCCAGATTCTGGCTGGAAGAGCAGACAGAAGCCGGCAGGGAAGGAAAGAGCTGAGTTCAGTCTGGTGGGCCTGGCCAACCCCAGCCCTGGTCTGATTGGTGCAGTGGGCTGGGCTCTGCTCGTCTCCTGGACCCTTCACCCTGGCCCTGAGATCAGGAGGGACAAGACCACCTACCTGTCTCTGACCTCACTCTTGCACCGACTCTTGCCCTGACCAGCAGAGGGAGCCCCACCAGTGATGGCCCGCCTTGACTTTCCTGCCCAGGAGTGAGTACCCTGCCTCACCGCCTTCAGGGCACAGATATCTGGGTCTCTGAGGCAGACAGACATGCCCTCAGACTGCCTGGCAAGCCTGGGCTTGAGCCAGGGTAAGACCGGAGCTTAGCACCAGCCTCTAAGGGGAACGTGGAACCCACCCTGCTGTCCCCAAGGCCTCGATGGCTCCTACATGCCTTAGGTCCTGGCATCCACCTACGCATCCTCTTTCCATTTCTTACCCATCCACCCACCCTCCAGCAAATGCTGCCCAGTAGTCAGCACGGCAGAGCAGGTAGGATGCAGGAGTCCCAGGGGAGTGGGAACATGTTCCTCCACACAGGGAGCTGTCTGTCTAGCAGGCCCTCAGGCCAGGCAGGGAAGGGCAGGTGTGAGTGCCAGTGGCGGCGATGGCTCTGCCGCATGCTGAGGAGTGGAGGGCAGGAGAGTTTCTGGGGAGAGCAGTGTGCGCTGCACTGGCATTGTCGCCAGTCCCTCTGAGTGGAAGGTACAGGGTGTGGCCAAGGAGGAGGAGCCAGGAAGCCTGGGGATGGGTGTGGACTGGCAGCCACCAGCTGGTTGCAGGGAACAAGCAGGGGCCCGTGGGCCGTCTTGGGAAAGAGGAGAGGATTGCTTTGGTTGCCTGGCCAGGCTGGGGAGTGACCCTGGAGATTGGGGGCTCCCCTGCCAGGGCAGGCTGTGAGAGGCGCAGTGAGGGCAGGGTCCCCCGAGTCTTGGAGGTTTACACACACCCTCTCCAGCAACCCGAGGATGAGGAAGATCATCAGGGTCACGGAGAGGAGAAAGGCCTCTTCCAGTGGAAACCCGACGGGCGTCCCCCCGTGTTGACGATCAACACCTGAGAAACACCAAAGCCAGCCCACAAAGTAGATTTTATTTAAGAAACAGAACAGAGAGAGGAAGAGAGAGACTCCTCCAGAGAAGAGGGCTCCAGAGCTGGTGCCCGGGGAGTGGGGATGTCCCCTTTATAGATTTCAGGTCCTTCCCACCCTGCCTAGGTGACCAAAAGGGCAGGAGGAGAGCCGTCCAGGGGTGAGTGCTTGTGCTACAAACTGTGATCCTTCCCCTCCCCTGGAGGGTGTTAGCAATGGGGGTGTGTGTGTGCCCCCTCACGCTCACACAGTGTGATCTGTCCATTCTTCTTCTTTGGTAATCAGCTACCTGTCCTTTCTCCTGGTCTCACAGTCACCACAAGCAGCTGTCAAGTCCAGTGCTCACCCAGGCCAGTGGAAAGCCTTGTCCCCAACTGCAGGGTCCTAGGCTCAGGGAGTGAACTGCCCTCCATGTCAACTCTACCCTGGTCTGGATTCAAACCTGGCCTCCCCATTGGTTCCACACCTGGGGCCACAAGGATGTGGGCAGAGGGGAGGGCAGCTGCTTAACTGGAATGATTTCTGCGCTGCACAGTGGCGTCTGCCCAGGCATGGGGCTGCTTTCCCACCTCCAACGGGGTGCTGGCTCCGATGGCCACGGTGGTGCCCACTCTGCCTGCAGAAAGCTGCGAGTGCCCCTGTTCTGTCACTCCACCCAGCATCCTCCTCCCTGCCATCCTGACCTCCGAGGTCCTCCCTCCTCAGGCACCCTCCCCTGGCGATGTGTCAGCGTCTCCTGTCCCCAGCGCCCAGGCCTGTACCTTTCCTTGGCACAGGGATACCCGTCTGCCCATGTGCTGCAGGTTCACCTGCACTGTGGGCTGCAGGGGGCTCACAGCTCCAAAGAGACCTGTCCTTTGCTGAGCACTAGCCAGTTTGCACAGTCACCCTCTGGAGCAGATGTCCCTCTGTCCAGTTTACAGATGAAGGAGGGAGACCAGAATGAGTGTCTTGGGGTAAACCCGGGCCACTCAGGAGGCCGCAGGAGGCCAGGTGGAGCCAGCGCGGGGCTGTCTACCAGGCTTTGGAAGCACACATTCCCTGGCGCCTCTCAGAATGTCTGGGCGTACTGTGGCCTCAGCCCAGGGACCAGCTGCCCCTGCTGCTGTCCCTGCACCTCCCCACAGGTGGCCCCGTTGTTTGAAGTATCATTCTCTCCCGTGCAAAAACCACACCCTTTGCTTTCTTGCAAAGCCTTGTACAACTGCCTTCATCCACAAAGCCAGGACATCTCCACCCTGCAGCAGACAAACAGGAAGCCAAGGTCTGGAGGGGCAAGGGAGCCACCCAAGGCCACAGGGAGACAGCTGCAAGGGAAAAACTCCTAGGAACCTGCCCAGGAACCCTTTCAGCCTCCCATCCGCCACACAGAGTGTGACCCGCCTCTGCCACAGAGGACCCACCTTCAGCCTTCCAGGGAGCCACGTGCACACCTGCCCAGTGAGCTCCTCATCCACACTCCATTCCCACTTGTCTACTTACCTACCCCTCCATCACTCCACCCACCCATCCATCATCTTCCGTCTACCCATCCATAAATACTCCTCTCCTTCCATCTCTGCACGCACTCACTTTCTCAATACCACCCATCGGAATGTCATTCTCCACCCTCTACCCATCAATCCAGCCATCCACCCATCTATCCATGCATCCTCCATCTATCCATTCTCCCATCCATCATCCATTGACACACCACCCACCCATCCTCCATTCATTCACCCATCGATCTGGCCACACAGCCAACCACCGAGCAGGACCTTGAAGAACAGAAATGGAGGAGGCTGATCCTGGGAAGGGCTATGAAGGAGGAGCACCTGGGTGGCCTTATGACACAGGGAAGATGTGAGCCATCGGCTGGGAAACCATTGTCTACACTGTGAGAGGCCTGGCACAGGAAAGGGTGTGGACGTGAGTTGGTGTGTGGTAAGAGGCGGACAGTGAAGAAGGCCAGACGGCTGGCAGAGCCCTGCTGTCAGGGGCCTAAAACTCACAAGCTCAGGTTTGGTCCAAAGGTCATCAGTTGGGAGAAGACGGGCAATGATGAGGGGCCAGGCCGGGGCCCCACACCCAAAAGGGCCTACTGGCCAGCAGCACCCCCGTGCCACCCCCACTTTACTAGGCACTCGCCCTTTCCCACGTGGGTCAGGCCTCTGCTCTGTGGCACCAGGTGGAGAGAGAGTCCAGGACCGAGGACACCTGCCAGGACCCTGGCTGGCCAGCTGGGCTGTGGTTGTTCCTGTGGGGTCTCCCTGCAGCTGACCTACACCTGGGTCTGGAGGGCCTCCAAGGCATCTGTGAACCCCACGGGCAGAGCCAGGTGACACAAGGGGGTCTGCTGGAGGTGTGCCAGCACAGGGCAGGGCCACACTTCTCAGACTGGGGCTCCCAGGGAGGCCTCTGAGAGGTCCCGCCCCCGGAGGGTTGGTGAGTGACAACAGTTCCCGTGCCACCACCCAGTCCTGCCAGCCCTCCCCACTCTGCCCTGTGCCGCCCCACTGAGTCACGGCCAGATCCGCCGCCGCCCAGGAGCAGGAGCTGTGGGGGCTGGTATAAATCCTTAACATGGGGCCAGCCACCCTCCCAGCGCCAAGCACCCAGGAATGGCCTCTTCCTGGGCCACGCGGCTGCTGCTCCTCGCAGCCTGGAGCCTGGGCTGTGGTGAGTAGTGGGGGAATCTGGCGGGACCCTGCCCTGGGCCTCAGTCTGCCCACCTCCTAGAGGGCGGGGGCTGTTGGGGGCTGTATGGCGCTCAGTGAGCCTCCAGAGCCCAACTGCACCCTGGGAGAGTGTCATGGCTCCACTCTCCTTGAAGGGAGACGGAGGCTGGGGTGCTAAGGTGCAGGGTTCACACCCGTCTCCAGCCCGCCCGCCCTCGAAGGAGCTCAGCAGGTGTCCTCCAGCCCCATCCTCCGGGCTCCAGGATGGGCTGAGCTGGCCAGGTGATGAGGTTCTGCTGCCCCCCCCCCCAGGTGAGGCCTTCAGGTGCTACTCCTGCGAGCGGCCCACGCCCATTTACGCATGCAAAAACATTACCTACTGCAAGCTGGAGGACACGGCCTGCAAGACCACACTGGAGAAGGTGGAGAACGGTGAGGCTGGGCCCAGGGCAGGCCCCAGCACAGGGCAGGCCCACCTCTCCCAAAGGCCTCCCTGGGTGCACCTTGCTCCTCTGGGCCTGGGAGGCAGAGGAGCAGGAAGTGCAGGGTGGAGGCTTCCCATCTGAGAGGGGTGCCTGCAGCAAGGGAAGCTCAGCACCCCAGACCCCAGGCACTGGGAGTGGGGTGCGCTCTGCTCAGACTGTTGGATGGTGCTGCTGCAGCCTCAGGGCTGGGCTCCCTCTCAGGCCCGGGCACCGCAGGTGCTCCGGGCACTAGTGCTATTATTAGAAAAACCTGTCACCGTTGAGGTTGGGGACTGGAAGGCTCCCAGATCTGGGACAGGAATGCCGGTGGGGTTGGAGGAGGTAGGAAGCACAGGTGGTGGTCAGGAGCAGCAGGGGGGACACACAGAGCCAGGCAGGCACTGCAGTGGGTGCAGGCTCTGACGCCTGCCCACCCTGCAGAGTACCCCTTCGACCAGAGCCCCATGGTGACCCGCTCCTGCTCCGACTCCTGCCTAGCCACTGACCCCGACAGCATTGGGGCTGCCCACCCCGTCTTCTGCTGCTTCCGCGACCTCTGCAACTCAGCGGAGGCAGCCCAGCTGGGTGCTGGGACTCTGGCCACACTGGGAGCAGTGCTCCTCGGGCACCTCCTCTCCTGACAGGGCCTAGCACTGCTGGTGGCCACCTCTGCCTACACGTCTCCGTGAGCCAGGCCACTCACTCTGTCCCCAAAACATGTAGAAAATAAATAAGCCAAGGGTGGAGATGAGTTTTGTCCTTCCTGGGCACTGAGAGCCCACAGAGGGGTCTTTAGGAGAGCTGAGCCCGCTTGGCCTGCTCCAGGCTCCCGACCCTCTTTTTTACCCAAGGCCTTTGGATCCGTTTCCCAGATGGGGAGACAGAGGGGGGGCAGAAATGCCTTCTGGGTCACCCTTCCTGCAAACTAGCCCCACGTCTCAGGCCAGAACCTGTTCCTTAGTCCCAGGAAAACTCTTCCTAAGAAGCACCCCTCAAATCCTGGGGGTCAATGCTATCCCAGGGTGGAAAGGGTGTTAGGATCTGATTTTCCCCATGAGTGGGGAGGGGGGGTCTGGTTCTGACCAGCCTGGCGGTGCCATCGATGCAGCCAGGGGAGGCAGAACAGGAGGTCACAAGAAGCCCCCCACCCCAGGTCTTCCCAGGGCAGATGCAACTCCACAGGCTTCAGTCACCCCTCTGACAATGGTCTGCTCATCACCTTGGGACAGCTGGGACAATCAGATGAGACTGGACAGTGCCAGCTTGTCTCCCAGACCCCATGGCCAAGACTGGTTCTGTGCCAGCCTGGACTTGTAGCAGTCCCAGTGAGCACCAGCCAGGGCTGTCTGGGGGACATACAGTCCTCAGGGCTGACCCCCAAGAGTGTGCCCTCAGGTTCTCACTCGGCCCTCGCCCCTCACAGCACTCCACTCCATCCTGGGGTACCCAGTGTTAGTACCCTTTCCAGGCCCCAGTTCCCATCCGTGTCCTCGTGGCATTTTCTGGGTTCTGCCCAGTCTTGGGTCATCAGGCTCCGTAGGCCACCAGGGCATGACCCTGGGGTCCCTTTGGCACCTGCTAAGCGCTGATGAGAGCAGGCTGGCCTGCTTGGCACACACCCCAGGGCACAGGGAAGTAGCTGGGTGGTGGCGAGGCTCCTCTACCTGCCTGAAGGCACCCCTCTGGGCTCTCTGCGGGGCCAGCACCGGCAGTCCCCAGTTAGGATCATTCCCGCCTTACAGACCTCCAGTTCGCCCCAGGATCCTGGATCAGAGTCCAGAGGTCAGAGCCACAGCCTTGCCATGGGGACCAAGCAGATGTCACTCCCCAGCAGAGGAATTGGGGATGTGCCTCCAGGCCCTTTGAGAGGCAGAGGAGGTGGGGATGGGAGAGCCTTGATGGTCATTCCCATCCCTGGGGCGGCGGCAGCGCGGCCAGCAGAGGGCGCGCGTCCAAGCCCGGGGAGTCGCGATAGTCAGGATCCCTCTGCGCACCAGAGCACTGCGGGACCTGGGGGAATCCACACCTCGAGCCTGGCTAAGCCTCCTGCCCAAGAGACGCAGGGAGCTCCGAAAGCCATTGCTCTTGGTTGACCTTGAGAACGCTCACCTGCCCCGACCGCACACATGGATATAATATCTTATTCGCATCACTAAGCCCAGAATTCTGTCCAGGAGAGATGCTCCACCGACCCCAGGGGCAGCTGCTGAGCCAGAGACCCCTGGAGAGGCTCCTCCGCACGGTGCCAAGCAAGGGCCAAGGCCCCATCCTGAGCATCCCCTGCCGGCCCCACTCCCAGCTCCCACCGACACTGGGTACCAGTGGCCCGATGCCCACCACTTCCAGTCTGGAGTTCTGCCCAGACAAGCTGCCCTTGTCTGGCAGCACTCAGTTCAGAACTTGCCACATCCCAGCAGCGCCCCAGCGCGTCCTCTCCAGATGTCCCTCAGACAGCCTTGAAAGGTCTAGCCAGAACCTTCCTGGACCCCTTAGATGAGGGGGGAAAGGCACTGAGTGGCCACCCCTGTGCAGTGTGCCCACAGGCTCACAGCAGGGTGCAGACAACAGAGCAGGGGACAGTCTCTCCAGTCCCACTCCCCTTGCCTTTCCAGGACTCCCTGGGCAGGTGGGCAGAGCACAGACATGGTGCATACCCCCACATTCACCTGCTCTGTCTTGGGGACCACTCCCCATCCTCAAAAGACCTGCACAACAGCTCCTATGCTGTCTCTCCTCCTCCAAGGCCCAGTGGCCTCTGCCCCTAACTGCCACCTCCATCCTGTCCCAAATCCCGAAGTTGAGGGTCCCCGACCCAGAATGGGGCATGACCTCTTGGAGCCATCCCTCGACTGGAAGGAACCAGGAGGCCTGGGCAGGTACCTGTGGTCCAGTGCAAGGCTCATGGGCCAGCAGGGCAGGGAACTTGGGGCAACTCCTGGTCTCGTGTTCTGCAGGAATTGGACAAGTCCTGCCCTGCCAGCCTGACCTCAAGCTCAAGGGTGGCCCAACACGCCTACACAGCATCCCCTGCCACCAGAAAACATCCTGGGAATGGGACCCCAGGGGGTCCAGCCTTTGGAACCAGTTTTCCCAGCACACACACCTTTAAAACTCTTTAATCTTGTGCTTTCTTTAATTAAGACAAAAAGGTGCAGCTATAGCCAGAAGGGCAGCATGGGGCAGGAGGTGGCAGCTCCTGGGGGAGGCAGTTCTGGCCTTCCAGTGATGTCCTGACCCTGGGCTGGCAGGGCAGGTGTGGGGGTTCCCGGAGCAGGCAAACAGAGATCCCCACACCCAGCGCTCCTGGCCTCAGTACCCCAGCTAGACAGGGCGTGGCCAGAGCCTCGGGACCAGCCCCACTTGGTCCTGGGTTTTCTCAGCAGCTCTGGGTTGACCCAGGCCTCAGTTTCCCCCATTGTAAGGTAAGGGATTAGGCAGGAGTAGGCAGCCTGAGCCAGCTTCCAGTGTCCCCTAGGAAGGCCTGAGAGCAGCTGCCCAGGGACCTATATCACAGAGAATGCAAGACCCTTCCCTGACCCCAGTCCATGCAGGGAGAGCGCTTAGAGTGGGGCAGGGTATGGGGCAGGCACAACTGGGGGAGAGAGGTGCTGTTGGCCCAGAGAGGGCAGGCTTCAGCCTGAGGTAGCACAGGCCTAGTGGGTACGGATGGGTGCAGGTAGTTGAGGGTGCCCTTGCAGAATACCCCCCCAGCTGTTCCCTCCCTAACCAGAACACTCCCAGCAACCCTTCTGGGAACCTTTGGGCCACAAACCCCAGTTGCCTGCCCTGCCCTCCAACCCAGCCTGGAAGGAGAGGCAGGAGACCAACGCTGCACCAGGGGACCCTGTTCTCTGGGGCAGGTGCAAGGCTCATGGGCCAGCAGGGCAGGGAGGCCAGCTGGGAACTTGGGGCAACTCCTGGTCTCATGTTCTGCAGGAATTGGACAAGTCCTGCCCTGCCAGCCTGACCCTAAGCTCAAAGGTGGCCCAACCCGCCTACACAGCATCCCCTGCCACCAGAAAACATCCTGGGAACGTTCCCTCCCAAGTGCTTTCCACCACCACCCCGACTCTACTCCCCTCCTGAGCCCGAGCCTTACTGGGGGCCAGAGGGAGCAGGCTTACAATGCTGTCCCTGCAGAGGGCCAGGCGCAGAGCCCATGCCCAGCACTGCTCAGGCCACTCCTGCTGTCCCTCTGCTCCAGGTACATCCCCTACCTGGAACTATTGGATAGTGGCCTTACTACAGGGACGATCAGGGCCCCTCTGCCCATCCATCCCCAACTAGCAGGCAAAACTGGGTCAGGCACCAATGCCACTCCATTGTGTCCAGCATGGGGCCCAGCAGAGGGTGTCAAGCAGGTGAAGGGGACTATGGTGGTCACAAGGTCACTCCAGCTGGAGCCCAGCCTGGCCTGCTCATTTTGTGGGAAAGGCCAACTGACCAGCTGGGTAGATAACCAACTGCCCCTAGGCGGAAGCTGATGGGCAGGCAGTGGAGGAAGCGTCGGTCACTGGTCCTTGATGACATCACTGAGTCCACTCTCAGCCCGAAGCTGCTGGCTGCTGGCCTCATTGTAGGTGATCCAGTGCTGCAGGTCCTCTGGCAGCTCAGGGGGCTCCACCTGCAGGACAGGAGGGTGAGGCTCCGGGGGTTCCACCTGCTGCTATGGGGATGAGTGAGGGGTACAGCCCAGGGTCCTGTACCAGCCAGGCTGCTGCCCTCCCGTCACTGGGCCTCTGCCCATGCTGTTCCCAGGCATGTGACCTTCCATGAGGCCCCTGCCTGTCACCTACTCAATCCCCAGGCCCCTCTGAGCTCAGAGATACAACCTAGCTCTCTAGATACAACCCCGCCTCTGCCAGGCCTGCCTCCCCAGAGCCAGGTGGAATCCTGGAGGCCATTAGAAGACAGCGTGCGGGGCAGAGGCTTTCTGGGAGCCCTTCTGTTCGTCAAGCACCAAGAAGACCCAACTTAATCTCCCAGGTCAGCTCTGGGCCTGTCCACTGTGTCCCCATCCCTCCCTGCACACTCATGGATGAGGTCAGATGCCTTGCAGGGCTTCAAGAGCTGCCAGAATGAAGGGAGGAGCAGGTGCCCACCCCACCTCAGGACAAGCAGCCACACGGTGGACTGGGCCAGGACAAAGTGTCCCACTCACAGGGCTAGTCCAGGCAGGGCTGGGGCTGGGGTTGCTCTCACTTCTAGTACTGATTTGGGAGTCACCTCAATAAAGATAAAACCAAGGGTGTGGTCATTCTGCAGCCCTAGGCAGTACCACTTTCTCTGCACCCAATTCCCCAACTCAGATACAGCCCCTCATAAGGGTGGGACTGTCTCTCCTGTGCTCTGGAGGTGCCTGTCTGATGCGAGAGGGTGCACGAGGGTGAGCAGACCCTGGCATCTTTCAGGAGACAGTCTGTGGCAGAAACCATCTTGGCAACCATGACTGCCCTGGCCATCCCCTGGGCCAAGGTTGCCTGGCTGCAGCAGCCTGCTGCCATGGAGCAGGCCCTGGGAGGGGCCTTCAGCCCAGGAAGGTGTAGGCCTCCCTTCTCCAACTGTGGAAGGCAGAAAAGCTGCGGCCTTCCAGGGTCAGTCCAACCCCATCAGGACCAAGCCCTTTAGCTCTAAGCTGTATGAAAGGGAGGCTCAGGTCCCCCCAAACTCCCAGCAACCACCTTTAACTGCCTTATCCATCCCATGTTCAGAACCAAGAACCAGAGGTGGTGGCTCATTACTCCAGGCCACCAGTACCAAGAGGCCTGGTCTGACATCTGTTTTTGAAGGGGTAATGGGTAAGGAAAACCGTGAGGGGCTGAGCTCAGGAATGGCTAAGCCTGACTGTGAAGAGTTGATCCTGGGACCCTGGGACCCCCAGAACATGGGCACGGGTGAGGAAGGCCCTGAGCCCTCAGTTAAAGGCAAGAAAGGGTACAGTGCTGGGCGGGGTACTCCAGGAGAAACAGATGGCTGGCCTTCCCTGGGGGAGAAGGTCGGAGACGAGGAGCCCCTGGGGTCGTGCCACGGGTCGGGGGCTGCTCACCCTGCGTTTGCACAAGTGCTGCACGACGCGCTCGGGCGAGGTGCCCAGCACGTGCTGCCGGGAACGCAACAGTGCGCACAAGAAGCCGTCGCGCAGACTGACAAAGCGCGCCTCCAAGTAGAAGGCGCGGTCGTCCCAGCCTAGCAGGCGCGTGCGCACCTCGAAGGGCTCAAACAGGCGCAGCGAGCGGCGGTAGCGCGCACACGAGGCGGCCAGCACGGCGTGCGCCCCCAACTCGCGCAGCGCCCCAAGCACACCGCAGCGAGTCAGGTGCGCAGCGCGCGCAACGTCAGCCTCGCGCAGGTAGCGCGCGTTGTTCATGTGCAGCAGCAGATCCAAGTCCGAAGGTAGCACGCGGCCCGCATAGCGTTGCTCCGCCAGCAGGTCGCGGACGCGCGGCTGCAGCAGGCGCGCGCGCAGCACAGCGCACGGCACGCGCACCAGGTACCAGCCATCCAGCAGCGCGAAGAAGGAGAGTGCCAGGGCCAGCGACGCCACCAGCAGCCCCAACATCGCGGCGTGCGGCGGAGCCTGCTATGCGGATGCCAGCCGGAGCCGCTACGCCGCTGCCCGCCGCCAGCAGCTTGGGAGCCAGCAAGCGCCGCGGCTGGAGCAAACCACCGCGCGAGGCCGGTTGAGGGGAGGCGAACCGGAAGCCGCGGGCAGGAGCCCGCCTACAGCTCCCGGCCCCCCCTATCCGCGCTCGGTGGTCGGTTCCGCGTCCCCCGCCGACGCCGCTTTCGCTTTTCGTGGGGCGGGGCTGGGCGCGGCAGGGAAGGGCCAGCCTGGGCGAGGCGCGCTGGGCACCATAGCGACACCCGGCGGCCGCTCCCGGCACTGCGGGAGCAGAGGCGGCGGCCGCGGACCCAGCCACGCAGGCTCCGGTTGCGAGTCCCGAGCCGGTGTCTCTCCAGTTCTTGAAGAGGCGTCCTGAGTCTGGTTCCTTATCTGAGCTGAGTCAGAGCCTCCATTTCTCGGGCCCAGGCTGCGGGACTCTGCAAGGAAAAATGGAACGCAGCGCGTCCCCAGAGGCGCTGCTGCGCGACTCCACCTGCACCCGACGCACCGGCCCCAGGCCTCTCGCCCACAGAGACAGAGCCGCGTGTGGATTTCATTCCAGACTGGGGACCCCAAGCCCATCCCAAGCATTTCTGCCCTTTGCCCCTTTAGAAACCGCTGCTAGTAACGTCCGAAACGGAGGGGGAGGAGCCGGGCGGACGTAAAGGCCTCGGCAACCGAGATGGAGGTGCCAGTGTTTGGCCTCCAGGCTGCCGCACACGCTCTCGGTGTCAGTCCGTTGCCCCCGGGATGGCAGTTGACTCCGAGAAGACCCAACCGGCTCTCTCCCGCAGGCCCCTAGCCTCTCCGATGACCGCGAGTGTCAGTGACCCTGGAGGCCGACCCTTAGATCTGCGCTTGGTGCAGGAACCTGCCGCGGTCCGAAGGCTCTGGGGACCGCCGCAGCAGCGCTTTGTCCTGCACGTTTGAGACCTCCTTGAGAAGAAGCGGCCCCCAGGGGCAACACCACCACTGCCACTCCCCTGCCCCTGGATTTTTTTTTTTGGTCTGGGCAAGCCATTCGCTTTGGTCGGCGTCAAGAGCAGAAACTAAAGTACTTGTTTGTCTGGGTCTGCTTTGCTCCCGCAGCCAGCAGCTGTGGCAGTGGGATGGGTTTCCCAGTTTCCTGGATCTTCTTGGATACCCCCAGAGACAGGGAGCTCACTGCCTGTCAGGGCAGCTCTAGCTTCTCCAAGCATTCATTGCTCACAGATGTCCCTGTAATACCTACTTGTTCTGGTTGGGATCTGAGCCCTGTCTTGGAGAGGGTGACCCCTCCTGGTGAAGAGACAGAGGGTGTTATGTGCTTTGAGCTCATTTGCTGTTGCTCAGAGAATGTCACCCACCAGGCTGCTTTCAAAGGGGCTTTCCCAGGAATGACAAAGGAAGGGGTGGGCGTACCCTTCCAGGGGCCTCCAGCACTCTGTGAGCATGGGCACAGATTCACCCAAAGGAGCCCAGGAGGTGTGATGGGGCAGCAGAGAGCAGAGCATGGGCCTGGGGGGTTGGATGAGGGTGGCAGCCGGTCCCTGGGGCCCCCTCACAGTCTTTGAGTGTTTACTGTACGCCTGCAGCTTTTTGCACAAACTTTGAAAAACAGGTTTGTTGGAACCAAAGGGGGCACTTGCCCTTCCAGCAGGAGATGCTCCTCCCGAGAGCTCTGGGCCTGTCCCCACAACAGGGAGGTCCACAGATGAGCATGCCGGCTCAGAGTCTTGGCCACACACTCAAGGCTGCACATCAAAGGCCAAGGGGGCTGAGAGGTGACCTCCTGCCTCCCGTGGACCTCCTCCCTTCTGGGTGCCACACATTTGCTCTTGCCAAGGCCAGTACTCCAGCCCTCTCAGTCAAGGCCACGTCCACCAGCACAGACATGGCCTAGGTGGAGCCCACACACATCCCAGGCCTGGACTTGGGCTGTCAAGGACACAGGCTCTCTGCAGCTTGCCCAACAGGTGTTTATTAAGAGCATACTGTATGCCAGGCTGCTCCCAGGTTGTCCATGAACGGGGGGGCTTGTCCCTCCCTGCCTGCCTCATCTAGATCCCAGGGCCTTGTGACCCTCCCAGCCCGACTGCTACCCAGCCCATCTCATCTCAGCCTTGGAGGGCCCTGGCTCAGTCCTGGAGGAGAGGGCAGAGAAGGCTTCCTAGAGGAGGCACCTGAGCAAAGGTGGCCAAAACATGGGCTGTGGCAACAGCAGCAGCCGAGGCCTGCAGAGGAGCCGCTGCAGGCTGTTCTAAGGCACTGCAGTCCAGCCTGCTGGGCAGGCAGGCACTGGGCAGGAGTCCCAGGGGGAGCTGTGGAGGTGGGGAGCAGGGTGAGGGTTAGACCTCTGCCAGGTCACGAGGTCAGGGACACGGCATTGGCTGTGGACCCTCCTGGAGCCTACAGCTGGCTGGGCCCCCACAGCAGCAAGCTGCCAAGCGTGGCGAGCAGCCCCAGCGCAGTGGCTGGCTGCAGGCCGTGGGCCCCACTGGCATTGCACAGATCCGTGGAACAGCACGTGATGTTCTTCTTGCCCACGTAGTAGTTCTCCGCATCTTCCACACAGTCCGAGCTGCAGCCCTTACTGATAACGGTCACGAGCCCAACTGCACCTGGAGGGGCATGGTGACGGCTGGGGAGGCCAGTCCTGTCCCTAACTGAAGCTCCACAGCCACACCCCAAGCTGGTCGCAAGGCTGCCAGCAGCAGGAGACCAGGGGCTTGGTCTTGTCCATGTCCAAGGACCCAGGGCAGCTGGGCCTTGGGCTGAGCACCAGACAGATTGAGTGGGTAGGTGAGTGCAGGATGGGGTGGGTAGATGTGTGGGGTGATGAGGGCGCTGGAAGGGGTGGGGCATGTGGGGATTATGGATAGATGGTCAGGTGGGCAGAGGACAGAAGGCTGAACAGTGGTGGAGACCAAGCCCAGGCTCCTCAGTCAGCCAGTGGCAGGGAGGGAGCCGGGCGAAGGCACTCACGGATGCGCTCCGTCTTGCACTGGGTCTGGCCTTGGGTGCAGTTCTCCACGTTGTGGCAGTCCCTGTTGCTCATCTGGGCCGTGCAGGAGTAACACTGGAGGGCGGTACCTGCGGGGCGGGGCAGCGAGGTCAGAGGCTGTCCTCCCAGCCTGGGCCTGCCACACTTTCTCTCCCCCACCAGCAAGGAGAAAGGAATGAGCCCTTCCAGACTGCTGGGGGTGCAGACCTGAGCCCAGGCCCCTCGCGAGGTCCCGGGTGTACCCAGTCCACCGAGGACTGGCACCCACTTTCCCTGCTGCGCCTATGAATGACTTCCCCTCCATGCCCACGTTGCAGCCCATGGCTGCATACCATGCCATGCTCTGTGAAGGGCAGAGATGACCGGCCCCAGTGTGGCCTGGCTAACCCTGTCTTGCAGGGGCCCAGCTGGGCCCTGGAGAGGAAGGGTGGGGGTGTCGGGAGACCGTTCCCTGACTTTCCTAGGCCACCAGGCCTCAGGCCTACCCCTTCTTATCCCCTAGGCCCACCTGGTCTCAGCCCCTCTCAGGCCTCTTGGTGCTATGTGACCACAAGTGGCCCCGGGCCAGGTCCTGCCCTCCCTGGGTCCAGTAACCCCAGCTACCAGGGTGTCCTGCTTAAGTCTCCTCCCTTCAAAGCTGCTACAGCTGGCTCCGCAGCACCTCCTTGAAAACAGGTCCAAGCACCTCCCCAGCCCTACCCTGGGTGCCCTTGGAGTGTTGGCCTGCTCAATTTCCTGGTGGCCTCGGGGGACAGCCCCCTGCCCACACTTTCCAGAAGAGGACACTGAGGTCTAAGAGGGTCAGTGACTTGGCCAGCCACAGCACAGGCTGAACCATCCCCTTGGATCCTCCACCTGGACACAAGCTCTCCCAGGGAGTGGACGTCAGGGCTGGTGGGGCCTCGGGTCTTCCCAGTGCAACCCCAGCACCTCCTCATTCCAGCCTCCTTCCTTCCCTTCTGAGCATGAGATGTCTTGCCCCTGTGCCTCCCAGGACTGTTGGTCAGCATCCCTGTCCCTGTCCCTTTGACTTCTGCCCCTCCAACCCTGCGGGCAGTAGGGAAAAATTCACTGTAAGGTGTCATCCTTGCTTCCCAGATGTGCCCAGAGTCACCCTCCAGGGGCCAAGAAGCCCAGTGGGCAGAAACCCGCCTCCTTCCTCCCACCTGACCCTCCTCCTTCTCCCGCTTGCTCCCTGGGACCCTTCTGGCCTCCACTGGCCCCTTCCTTCAGTCCTGCCCCATGGCTGGCTGAGGCCTCACCTGGCTGGAGGGCCAAGCCAATGGCCAGCAGGGTAAGGAGGACAGCCTTCATGGTCACAGGCGGGTGGGGGAAGCAGGCCTCAGGGAGGCTTTATATGACTTCAGCAGGCAGGGAGGCTCTGTGGGCCTTCAGTCAACAGTGACGGGGCTCCTGGGGGCCAGTGAGGCTCAGGGCTGGGCAGATTCCAATCTGGGCCTCCCAAATGGCCCCGCCCACTCCCTTTGTCCTTCTTTCTGCCTTGGGAGGACACAGCCTGCCCAGGGTGGAGCCATTCTCCCCAGGAGGCTGTTTTTCAGCTACCTCCAGAATGAGGCCTGGGAAGTCCTCAGGCCCCAGATTATGCCTCATGCCTTACAGAGGGAGGCCAGAGCAGGGGCCCACTTCCTGGAGGCCTGTCCTCCCTCCTGCGGCCTGAAGTCCATGGGGGAGACAGGCCTTGATCAGCGCATCCCAGACAGATCAGCAGCGAGTGCTGCCCATGGCAAGAGCAGCTGCTAGGAAGCCGCCCCGGGGTTGCTTTCTCTAGGGAAGGGGTCTGGAGGCCAGTGGGGACCTCAGATGGCCATGGGCTTTCTCAACAGGACCATATTTAATCCACAGCTTGGAACTTCAGGTGCAAGGAAGTTGGGGACCACATGGCTTTCAGCAGCCCCTGCACAGGAGGAGGGGTGAGGAGTCAGCACCTCCAGCTGGCTCAGCTACCCAGACCCCTCTGCACCCTGCCCTGGCCCAGCTGTTTCCTTCTCCAGCACCCTGACTGCAGGGCTGGGTTGGAGGTGCCGTGTCCCTCTGGAGGGGCCCCAGGTTCTATGGGCCAGCTCCCCCAGCCAGCTCTGGTCACTGTTCCTCCTGTCTGCCCTGCCAGGCCCAGGACAGTAGCTTCCTGCTGCTTCTGGCCCTGGGGTGACTCATGGTCCCTCTTGCCCATCTCTACCGAGGCTTGTCTGCACACTCGGCCCCTCTGCCATGCTCCTGTGACGCTTGGGGCACACTGTTGCTCCAGTCGATGACTCTGGATAGAAGTGCCGGCCACAGCCACTGGTCAGCTGTACACGGCTGGGAAAGAGCCCCTTGTCCTCTGATACCCTCCTTTCCCTGCTGATGGGCACCTAACTATTCTTCCTGCCCTGGGGATATCCTCCCTAGAACGGCCCTGGGCATGCTAGGATGGGCAGTGGGTACAGGGAATCAGCCCAACCCGAGGACTACTGAGGGGCTCAGAAAGGCCAAGAGGCACCTGCATCCTGGGGTCCTGAGCCCAGCAGCTTGCAGGAACCACCAGAGCCTGGGTAAGGTGACCTTGCTGATGGGTGACATAAGGCCTAGATCCTCCAGCACTCTGTGGCAGAAGCCCATGAGCTGCCCCCGGGTCAGGCAGGCCCAGGCCCTCTGGGCTTCCCTGCCCAGTTCTCCAGCACCCCTGGGTTGTCTCTTTTCTGGCAGTGAGAAACCTGGGGCTCAGCGGTGAGGGGGACAGGACTGGGCTCAAGGTCACACAGGCTGCGTGTGGCATCCCCAGGACCCCTTCGTGCCCTCTGCTCTCCTCTGGAGCTTTCTCTTCGAACACCCCCTCCAGCCCACAGGCCTGTTAGTACAGTGCAGGCGCCACATGCAAGGAATCGGCTCTCTGAGGCTGTTTCCTCGTGTGGCTGCCCACCTGCCTGGTCTTCCCACCAACCCCAGCCCACGAGAACTCTGGCTGCCCTGGACAGAGCCTTCCTTATCTGTCTCCGCACTGGTGGCACCCGGCACCAGCACTGGCCTGGAACACTCATTCCCCAAACATTTACAGGTGTGTAAATGTTTGTCCACTGGATGTGATATGAAGCGGGTGCTCGGCCCCGTGTTTAGCATTGCCTGCAGGCGGCTTGGGTTGTCCCAACCCAGGGTGTTGCTGGCATTGGGTTGAGTGGTCCCAGGATCTGCTCAACATCCGGCTGTGCACAGGACAGCCACTCCCCTCCCCAATCCCTGCCCAGTAGTGCTAAGGGTGAGAGCCCTGGTCTAAGGGTGGCCTAGTAGCCACAGCCCAAACTGAGAGACCGTGATCACAGCTTCCTTACAGCCCCACCCTGACCTCAGCCCAGCACTGAGACCTCACTCTGAACTCTGACCCTGGTCCCCAAATAAGCCAGGAGCACATCCACCCACTGATGTCTGCCCTCTGTCCTTCACTCTTTGGGCACATATCACATGCAGCCCCTGAGCCACACTGGGCCTGATCCTCTGGTGGTCCTGCTTCCTGGAAGGTTTTTGCAGAAAGGATGACCCCCTGTGGTCCCTCCGTGAGTGGATGGGGTCCACAGGGGGCCTCACGTGACTCAATCTTTACCTCTGTCCCTTGTTCTCTAGCCAGTTCCTGGGACTCCAGATTCTTCTGCTCTTGTGGCCCTACCTGACCCGCCCAGCCACCGCAGTCTCAAACCTGCTGGGCTCCCTGCAGATCCTGCCTGTCCACATACCACAGGAGCTGCTGCTCCCTGGGTGTGGACCCCTCACAGGGAGATCTTGCCCACAGACCACCATTTCCGGTGGAGCCTGCCACTCAGGCCCCTGCTGGAACACACATCGTATTTATATTTTTTTTATTTCATGCACAGCTAGCTTTTAAAAATAAGCGTGTTAATCACACAAAGAACTGACTTCCATTTACACCACCGAGGGTCTCTTCCTGGGAAGACTGCCTGCAGCCAGGAGCATGGCCTGTACACAGCAGAGCTGAGCCTCCTCTTGGAAACAAAGGCCATGTCTTGCAAGCTCTGAGTGATCTGAATCTGTGCTGTCTGTAGACTGTCTGTGAGCATGAGTGTGTAAATGTGTGCCACATGGGAGTGTGAGCCTGTATGCAGATAGGAGTGTTGGGGCGCTCACCCTCTGGGGAGCCGCCTGGGCAGCCTAGAGCCCCTCCTGCCCCTGACATCAATGCCCTTCTTCTCTTCCTCTATTTCTGAGTCCCCTCCCACCTCTACTTCCCCAGAGGGCCTGGCCCCAAACCACCTTCCCTCCTGTGCAACGCACCCACCAAGCCCCAGGAGCAGAGCCGTCTCTCCTCTCTGTACCCCTTTCCTTACCTTTTCTTATACCCCCCTCCTGGAGGGAAGTCAGTGAGTGGAGACCCCAGGCCCACCCAGGACAGTTTCCTTCTCTGCCACAGGCCTCAGACGGGGAGCTGCAGTCCCCTCTTCACTGTGGGAGACAGGTATCCCCGAGACCCTCCTGAAGGGAGGACTGGCCGTTGACTTTCCCACCTGAGGCTCCCAGAGCTGGAGTGAGGGGCACTGCCAGGTCCAGGCACACCTCCAGGCAAAGGGGGCTACAGCAGAGGGCACAGCCCACAGGATGGACCCAGGGCTTGGTAAAGGGCTGTGGGTCCAGAACACTTGGCCTTGAGGACCCGGGCTCTTTTCAGAGAGGGAGGAGTGACCTTCCCAGACTGACCTCTCCAAGGTCACTCTGGCTGTGAGGGCGATGGGAGGTGGTCAGCAAGGAGGCTGTGGCTGTGGTTTGAGGGCTTTATCCTGTAACCTGGGGAGGCTGGGGAATGAGAGTGCTCAGTGCCAGGCCCCAGGGAACATCAATGCCCTTCTTCTCTTCCTCTATTTCTGAACCCCCTCCCCACTGCCAGAGTGAACTCAGTCCATCTGATGAGGTCCAAGGGTCCTGGAGTGACATCCCAGGCCCCTGTTCCATGCCCAGTCCCACCCTTCCAGCACGGCTGGTCTGGGAGGTGCTTTCAATTCTGAGTCCAGTAGGCGGCAGCAGAGAACCACTGGTAAGCCAGCCAGCCTGGGCACCTGGCTGTCCTGGAAGCCCCATCAGGGAGCCTGGGGGTCTTGGGGTCCCCTGTTATGCTCCCACACTCTCTCTTCCTGTCAGGCACACTTAAATGCTAGCAAACAGCACCTGTCATGCCACTGAGTTTCCCACAGAGTTTCGGGGTGGTTCACTCTGCAGCAGCCAAAAGCTGACAATGGGACAAAGGACAAAGAAATGAGCGGGGTGGGGTGGGTGTGACCACTGCTGGCCTGAGGCAGGACCAGGGGCAGAGCCAATCAGAGCTCCTGGTCTGTGGGGTGTGGTGTGGAGTGGCTCGAGAGAGAGAGTAGAGCCGCCATTTGTCAGGACAGGGAGCCCTGGGCTGGAGCAAGACAGGCAGCAGGGTCTGTTCTAGAAATGCCGGTTGACACGAGCCTCTTAGGAAGCTGTGCAGAAGTGTTCTGTAGGAAAAGGAGTTTGGATTTCAGGGGAGGGCCTGGCAAGAGACTTGACTTGGGAGCAGCCAGCCTTCCCTGGTACTGAGGCCCCGATACGGGGAAACCACCTGGGAGTGTGAGTGGGTAGAGAGCCAGGAAGTGAGGCAGGTGGGGACCAGGGAGGGAGGGCAAGGAGAGAACCAGGTGGTGGCAGGGCTGGCCCAAGGGAGGGCTGTGAATCAAGGAGTGAGATAGCAAGCTCTGTATGAGTTTTTGTGGGGGCTGTGACAAGGTGCCATAGTGAGACCCATTATCTCATGTTTCGTCCTCTGGCAAACACTCAACTCCAGCATGCCACTCCTGACCACAGGGTGGTCACTGTTTCAAGGGCTGCTGTGTAAGTTGCAGGGTGGCTCCAGTGTAGCAGCCGAAGCAGGTCAGAGTCTGAAATGAGTCTTATGATGCAAAAATCCAGGTGTCACAGGTGCACGCTCCAAGAGAATCTGCTTCCTGGCTTTCCCAGGTTCTCGAAGCCTCCCCCACTCGGGACCTGGTGGCAGTTCCTGTTAGCTCAGTGGTGGTGACTTGGTGGCGACTTAGTGGCGACTCAGAACAAAGCCGCCAGCCCAGGAAAGGAATATCAATCAGGTGCTGGCGGAAACGCCTGTCAATCAGCAGGACCCCCTGGCCAATCCTGGAGTTCAGCCAACTCCCCTGACCAACTCCAAGGGCACAAAGGACCCTAAAAACACCTTTTCCTGTCCCAAGCCCTTCCCTTCCTGCTGTAAGCCCCATAAAAGTCCAGTCCGGTCGAGCTTCCACGCGGTTTCTCCTCAGACCCTTCTCCTGTCCCCTCTGTGGGTCTGATCGAGTTCCGCCCGGGAGTGATATCTCAATAAAGCCTGTTCAGCGGCCCTTTTAAATCTGCCTCCCTTGGTCGCTGCTCGCCCCGCCTGATCCGACAGTCCCTCTGCCAGTAAAGCACGCGGCTGGCGGGTCCTTCATGGGCACACTGTCTTCTCCCACGTGACCTTCCTGCTCCCTCTGACAGGACCCTTGTCATGACACGGGGCCCACCCACACAACCCCAATAACCTCCCATCTCAGGACCTTAACTTAACCGCATCTGCCAAGCCTCCTCTGGCCTGCCAGCCCAGGAATACACAGGTTCTCAAAACTAGGAGGGGCACCCTGGGGGGCCACCGTTAGCCCACCACAGTGCACTCCACAGTTCACCAGCAAAACGACTCGAGTTCCTCAGGTGTCCACCAACACCAGTGCAGACCTCAGAGAAGCCTCTCCAGCTCACCTGTTTCAAACCTCAGCATCAAGATCACCTACAGGAGCCGCGGATGGGGCTTTAGCTGAGTGGGAGGTTGAGCGGGATGTCCCTGTGGGGAAGCCACACTGCCGCAGGCACTGGCCCAGCAACAGCGGCCCCAACAAGCCTCGCACAGCGCGGGGCCGGCAGCACCTGCCGGCCTGCAGCACCCCGGCGCTGGGTGCTTCCAGTCCCTCTCAGACCCCTGGGAGGGCCACAGAGAGGACGAGTCCTCCGCCTGCCTAGAGCGTCCCGGAAGTGGCCGGGGAAGGCGGCGAGGCGCGGGCTGGGGAGAGCGGCGCGGCGCACTTCCGGCCGACGGCGGCGGCCCGGACGCAGGTGAGTGGGCCCGGTTGCGGCCGGCCGGCGGGGCGGGGCCGAGCGGCCGCGGCGCCCTCGAGGCTCGCACGCCCGGGCCTGCCCCCGCCGCGGTCCCGGGACCAGGTCTGCGCGGCCCCGGCGGTTGGCGCCCCCCCTGGCCGGGCCGCGGCAGGAGCAGGACGGGGCTTGGCCGCCGCTTCCCTCGCACGGAGTTTGCTCCCTGTCGTGGTACCCGGGATGCTGGCGGTGTCCCTCCGCGGCCCCCAGCGCGCCCGCGCCCCCTCTGCAATGTGCACTGGAGTCTGTCCGGGGACCCCTTCCTCCCGGGGCTCCGGTTCCTCGCGTGCCCAGTCTCCAGGACACTTGTCTTTTGGATCTTTGCCCCTGATGCCCGCATTTGCCCGGGGACAACCATAGTCGTCGGTGAAAAGGTCCATTCTTAGCAACCTTGGCCTATATGCCTCAGGGCCTTTTCTAAGGAAATTTCTGTCCTTGCACACAGGACCGTGCCTGAGAGTGGACAAGTGCTGCTGTCCTTCCTGCCTCACCTCTGTCCTGTCCACCACCACTCAGTGTGTTGTCCACCCCTGGGCTCAGGAAAATACTTGAAGTCCATGGTCACATGGCCTCATGGTGTCAGTGCTTCCTTTGAATTGCAAGGCAAGAAGCCACCAGAATGTCTCTTGCCATTTCTTGTAGCCTGGAGCTTAAGGTTTCAGAAGTAAATCCTGAATTTCATTTCTAAGGAAGGCATTTCAAGCGCTTTGTCTTGCAAGCCAGACAGCAGCGTTTTCAGCCACCTCATAACACCTGCACACATCTGCACATCCAACGCCAAGAAACATTCTTAATGGCCCATTTCTGGACCTGAGCCTCCTCCAGAAATTTGTTGGCCCCTCACAGGTTCCTGTGTGATCCCACGGATCCCCCAGTTTTGTTTTAGAAATCCTCCTGAGGCTGGCCTACGGCCTGATTGCCATCTCTTCCCACAGTGTGATGCACCTCCTGGGCTGTGTGTGCTGTGCTAGGCAGGGTGCTCGCACACACTCAGTACTGTGGTGCAAAGCACCAGCAGGACGTTTGGCAGACCAGGAGGCCAACTGATGGAGAAAGGAGTTCCCAGAGGTGACTGGTGACAAGCCTGCCCTGTGTCTACGAAGCGCTGACTACATTTGAATACACATCTCATTTCTCTTGAGTTGTGGTCTTAGGGGCTGTGTGTTTTACATGCCGCACCTGTAAGTAGCCTTCTGGCTTCTTGGACTGCAGGAAGTTGGATGAAGCAATCCACATAAAGGTTTAGAAGGGAGGTGGGAGGAGTGAACCCCTCAGGAGTTCTTTTGGGGGTCCTATGTGCCTTTTCATCAAAGAACAGGGTGGTGGTGCTGCAGCCTCTGTGATCTGTACGCTCTCCCCGTGCCAGGAAGGGCTGGAGTTGAGAGGGTGGCAGGACTGTCATAGCACTTGTTTCAGGTAAAGCTTCCTGGTGGGTATGAGTAGTGAGGACGTGCGTAGGTATGTCCTGGTGCTTGACGTGATGTTTTCCTTCTCCTCTGCTTTTTAGTTCCTGAAGCACTGTGGGTGAGACACCATTGTGGACCCTGGAAAGAAGCACCTCGATTGTGCCACAATACCTTCATTAATCGGAAACTGGGCATTGTTTGAGGAAGACCTGCTACTGTCCCTGAGAAGAAGGCTGAGGATCCAGCCACACCAAGCAGTCTAGGGCAGATTGATGCTGGAAATTTCCCCTGCGGAGAGGATCAGCAGCTGACCACTTTGCCAGTAGCTGAGGCCTGAGCTTCCAGAGCCTGGATGCCCAGGGGAAGCTGAGGAAGAGGTTGCTGCAGGTAGAGGGTAGAGCCAAGGAGGACTGGGCTTGAGCCCAGGAGCAGCAGAGACAAGAAGGGAGAACCTGAGGCATGGAGGGGAAGCTCACAGCGGGAACGAGAGGCAGCAGTCCGGCCACCCTTCCCATGGCCTCTAAGCAGGCTGCCGTGAAGGGCAGGGTGGGGAAGCGGAAGCGGGTGGTGCTGACGCTGAAGGAGAAGATTGACATCTGCACACGCCTGGAGAGGGGCGAGAGCAGAAAGGCGCTGATGCAGGAGTACAACGTGGGCATGTCCACCCTGTATGACATCAAGGCCCACAAGGCCCAGCTGCTCCGGTTCTTCGCCAATTCTGACTCCAACCAGGCGCTGGAGCAGCGGCGCACGCTGCACACACCCAAGCTGGAGCACCTGGATCGGGTGTTGTATGAGTGGTTCCTGGTGAAGCGTGCCGAGGGCGTCCCCGTGTCAGGCCCCATGCTCATCGAGAAGGCCAAGGACTTCTACGAGCAGATGCGGCTGACCGAGCCCTGTGTGTTCTCTGGAGGGTGGCTTTGGCGTTTTAAGGCCAGGCATGGCATTAAAAAGCTAGATGCATCCAGTGAGAAGCAGGTAGCTGACCACCAGGCAGCGGAGCAGTTCTGCGGCTTCTTTAGGAGCTTGACCACTGAGCACGGGCTCTCTCCTGAGCAGGTGTACAGTGCCGATGAGACCGGTCTTTTCTGGAGGTGCTTGCCAAGTCCCAGCCCAGATGGTGGGACTATGCCCAGCCTCAAGCAGGGCAAGGACAGACTGACTGTCCTGATGTGTGCCAATGCCACAGGTTCCCATAGAATCAAGCCCTTGGCCATCGGGAAATGCCGTGGCCCCAGGGCTTTCACAGGCATCCAGCACCTGCCCGTCGCCTACAAGGCCCAGGGTAATGCCTGGGTGGACAAGGAGATCTTCTCAGATTGGTTCCACCGCATCTTTGTCCCCTCGGTCAGAGAACACTTTAGAACCATAGGTCTGCCGGCAGACAGCAAGGCCATCCTGTTGCTGGACGACTCCAGGGCCCACCCACAGGAGGCTGCGTTGGCATCTGATAACATCTTCACCATCTTCTTGCCTGCCAGTGTGACATCGTTGATCCAGCCCATGGAGCAGGGCATCCGAAGAGACTTCATGAGGCACTTCATCAACCCCCCTGGGAGCCTGCAGGGCTTCCACCCGCGGTACAGCATGAACGATGCCATACTCAGCGTGGCCTGTGCTTGGAACGCTGTGCCCAGCCATGTCTTCAGGAGGGCCTGGAGGAAGCTGTGGCCTGCTGTCATGTTTGCAGAAGGCTCTTCCGAGGGCGAGGAGGACGAAGAGGCCGAGCCTTGCAGTACCAAGCCTCATAACAAGACTTTGGCCCACATCCTCGAGCTCGTGAGGGAGGGCCCCTTCTGCCCAGGCCACAGGCTTCCGCCCAGTGCAGGGAGGGAGGTGGAGGAGGCACCCGCTGCTATGCTGCCGGCTGAGGCTGACCGGAATGCAGACCGGGTGGAGAGAGACGCTGGGGAGGACTCTGCGGCCGAGGTGGCCTGGGAGCAGGCGGCCGCAGCCTTTGAGGCACTTGTGCACTTCGCGGAGCAGCAGCCCTGCTTCAGCACGCAGGAGGTGGGGCAGCTGCACGCACTGCACTCTGCCTTCAGGAGGCGGCTGCAGCTGAGGCAGCAGCCCGTCGCCCTGAGGGCCATGGTGAAGCTTGAGGCCCGCCAGGATCACCCGGGCAGGTGCAGGGCCACAGCCCACTCCCCCCTGCCCTGCTCATCCACAGCCAGTGATAACTGATGGCTGTCATCACACCCATTTGACCCCTAGGACATGGGGTCAGTCCTGGGACACAGACTGCCCGCTGGGCGGGAGAGCACGCTCAGAGAGAGCTTAAGCGCTCCCCCAGGGGGTGGTGCCCCCAGCACATTGTCTCCATTACTCAGAAGGACCCAGGCCTGTGTGTTTTGGCTGATTGCAGTTTACCTGTGTCGTTTGCTACGTCCTGTGAATGGGAGGAGACCCTCTGGAGAGTCCATGCTACCTTAAGCACACCCAAGCCTCCTCTATTGAAACTGGGGGCCAGGCTGGGTGAATCCCGAATCTTCTGTGGCCTGGCAAACCTTGCTGTGTTGGATAGAGGTGTGTCTGTCCTGGCAGAGAAGAGCACTGTGCTAGCCCACAGGGGCAGCGCCTCCTGCCCCAGGGAGGCTGGGTAGGCTGAGCTGGCAGTAGTTCATGTGCTGGGTGGACCCCAAGTCGAGTGTGAGGGCAGGGACTCAGTTCATGACCTCAAGTGCCCTCAGGCCACACATCTCCCCATTGGCACATGCCTGCTTCAGCCACAGTCGTGCTCAGCAGAAGAGCTCTGTAGTGTCCCCTGTGGCCTGCAGACCCTGCCCTTCAGGCCCAGGCAGGCCCTCTGGTCACCCTCAGGGACCCTGGACTGTTGTTTTTAGCATTTGGCTCAGAGACCACTACAAAGTCTGTATTCCATGCTCCCAGACTTTCAGTTAGAGCCCCTAACTGAAGAAGTCGCCATCAGGAGTTCAGAGTCTAGTCTTAGGTCTGCACACGGCCACTGAGGACAGTGACACAGGCCCCAGCAGCGTGGAAGCTTTCGTCCTTGCTGTTTCCAGGGCAGCGATGCTCTGGGGGAAGGCCTGTCTGTACCAGTGGGTGTTGGGAGGCCGACCCTAGGACGTGGTCATTTCCTCGGCCTTAGTAGCCCTCTGTGGCTTTACCTCTAGCAGCACCATGCTTCCTGGCTGTGACTCCAGAGGCCCTGTCCACCGCGTTAGCTGCGTTGTGGCCGTGAAATGGGTGTTTTTCTGAGCTCACTCCTTTGCCCTTGAGCTCCATTCCTTCTTGGATTCGCATCCTGGCAGCTGAATTGGCACGAGGTTTCATTCCCCTGCTCGTCAGGTACTCCATCAAGAGACGCGCTGCTGGGATCCTGCGAGCCAAGGGACTTACAGGGAGGTTTGTGGTTCTAGTCTGTCCAGACGCTGAGGCCGTAGTGATGTTGATATAGCGCTGTGTTGTAGAATGTGTGTTTCTTTGAAGCATGTGGGA